ACAGGCCCCGTGGCTGTTTCAGCCTGAAAGCCTGAAATCCAGGGCTTACAGGCCCCGTGGCTGTTTCAGGCCGAAAGCCTGAAATCCAGGGCTTATAGACCCCGTGGCTGTTTTCAGCCCGAAAGCCTGAAATCCAGGGCTTACAGGCCCCATGGCATTTAAGGGCCTATAGGCCCTCAGGCTTTAGTCAGAAGCTACCTGGGAACTTTCCGGAAGCTTCCTCAGGCTTTAGCCAGAAGCTACCTGGAAACTTCCGGAAGTTTCCTCAGGGTATAGCACGTTTGGGCAGTGGCAAGGGCAGCCTCCTGGACGGGCCAGGACTATATAAGACCGGCCCGCCCTACAGGCAGACAGGTAGTTTTCCCAGGCACTTCACGTTCAGGCAGTTCGGCAGTTGTAGTTTTCAGGATTCGGGAGCAGCACTCTGGAGGGAGCGCTGCGTTGTAGTAGTAGTAGCGTTAGCTTGTAGTCTTTAGCGCTGGGCGCAGTAGGTAGCTGTAGTCTCCAGCTCTGGGCGCCATAGCTAGGTAGCACTAGAGAGAGAGAGAGAGAGAGAGAGAGAGTTTGGGCGTAGGCCGGAGGTACTTATGCAATGACTTGCTGATTTCTGCTGCCGAAATTAACAGCGAGGCTGTACACTAACCCGGTAGGTTAGATTCGTAATTTTGTTTGGCTGAGGGCTAACCGAGAGACCTGCCTGTAGGGAAATTCTTGAGGGACAGATCTGTAAATCTGGGAAAATATAGGCCCAGTACTAACCTGAATTCCTACAGCTACCCTAACTGCTGATAGCAGGCCCGGGCTACCCCTAGGACAGACAGGCCCTAAGCGGCCTATGCTGCTAGACGGTCCTATAGCCTATAGCCGGGTCCGGTAGAGGCCGAGAGGCCGAAATAGCAACGGTACCGGTCGGTCAGTCAGTCCAGTCTAAGTCCTAGTAGTCTATAGATAGGTGAGGCCCATCGGTTCAGGACTTTTGGCAGTTCATTTCTCGCGAACAGCATTGGAGAAGCCAAGCAAGTTGGTGGCGGCACTTGTCTACCGGCGGCATCCTGAGACAGACCGCAACAGCAGCCATAGCCGGCCCTTTCTGAGCTTGCCACAGTTGGGGCACCCTCAACGCATCTACCCCTGGGGGTATCTGCGTATGGCCGGGGTACGTTGAGGCTCTACACTGAGTGGTTCGTGGGTGGTGGCAGCCATAGCTGCCTGTTCCTTCGTCAGAGTTGTCCATCGGCACTGAAGACTTCATCGCAGGACCTGTTCTTCATCAGGGTGGTTGGCGCTGGCCTCTGAGAGGCTGTTCAGATGCAGCGCTACTAACTGGGTGTAGGATAGAGAGTGGGGTGTGAGTTCTGAGTGTGGCGAGATACTGGAACAAACTCTGTTACGATAATTGTGTGAGTGGTTCAGCATCAGTGACAATTTCAATTGTGATCTTCTCAGGTTCTTTCTTGTGATTGGTTGTTGGGAGTTGTGTCAGAGAGCGAGAAACACTGTGTGTCTTCTCCCCTGCTGTGCATAATTGTCTTCCGCTGTTTATCTTCACCTGTGTGCAGTGTGGACTCTGCCTCCTCTCTCCCCATCTCTTGTGCATGTATGGGCATGTATGAGACTGTCTGTGTGTGAGTGGCGAGAAAATTCGTCAAACATCCAAGATCATAATAGTTGGTATTGGAGCGAGATTGGAATTGGAGCACTGAGGGTTGAGCGCACTGAGGCATCTTCTTCATCCTGGCGATATACTCGCGAGAGCTTCATGGCGATTCATCTTCCCCAGTATTGAGTCGGCAGGGAAGAAGACTTTCAGCGGTGAATTCAAGTGTTCAGTGGCTACCTGGCACTGTGGCGAGATATTTTGGAGTCGGCGAGTTGGGTGCCACAGGACCAGATACAGGGTATTTGGAGTGAAGGGTTGCAGCGCCACAGGATCCTGAAGAGGATCAACAATTTTGAGGAGGTTCTGTGCGTGGGATTGTCTGGGAGAAGCTCTGGAGGAAATTGGCGAGATAAGGGTTTCATCTGCCATAGCCAGATCTTCATCATCACCTGCAAGATTCTCTGCAAGTGAGTCCGTTCCATGCACCTACCTGAATTGCGATCCAGATAGTAGTAGACTAGTGAAAGATTATGGCCTATCTGTCTGTCAGTGCCTGGATATAAAAATCGCAGACTGCATGACAGCCAGAGCCATCTCTCTCCCTACCTCTCTCTGCTCATATCTCATTATCTGTTGACTCTTTCTAGTCCAAACTTGTCTTGCGAAAGCTATACAGTATCGCAATTGTTCTGGGATGATCAAACAGTGAATTCTGTACTGGAAAAGTAGTGATACTAGGAATTGTTGTTTTGCGCTGTCTATTTTTAGCCTGTGCTTCCTAGGGTCAGTCATATCTTCAATTCTGTCCGTCAGAATTCAGTTTTGTCAGTCCCCAGTGAATCGCAATTTGAAAACAGTCAGTACTGTCAAATCGCAGAGTTGGATTTCTAGTATTTCACTGGATACAGTGAAATGAGTGATTCGCCATTTATCTGTCTACATCGCTTGTTGTGATTGATCTCGCTGTGTCTGTACTAACCATTTCCATCATTCCCACTGATTACACTTGTTTCTAGTGGGCATTGGAATTTCTAGTTGGTCTCTGGAAAACTAGTGGAGTGACTGTATGACTTTCAGTGTGGTCCAGGGTCAGTAAAAGGAAATCGTGTGACTGATTTTGCTGGACTGACAGTCTATCTGACCCCTGACCCCAGAGACACCCTTCTAACCCCAAACCGTTGATTGCCTTCTCACCCACCTACTCCAGTGTTGAGTGCTGCAGCGATTCCAGAGTATCTGCATGAATTTGCATATCGCTGCAATTCTTTCTGCTGTTATTTTATTTTTGGTTTTTATTTGAGCTGGGAAAATGTCGGATCAGGGGAATGAGCAGCAGCCACATGTCGAGGTTGTGGTGAAGGCAGAAGGTGAACAGCCTTCTTCCTCCACTACTCGGACTACTCCCCCTCCACCTTTGACTGCTACTCAGCGGCTGAAGGAGGCAGAAGAACAGCTCAGACTGCAACAGGCCAGAGTGGCTGAATTGGAACGGTTGGAGGCTGCTGAGCTAGAGGCTGCAACAAATCACTCCAGAAGGGAGTATCTGTTGCAGCAGCTAGACAAGTCTCTTGCTGATGATCGATGCTCCCAGGTCACCAAGCACATGGCTGAGATGATCCTGCTGGAGCACAAGATCACCAGCTCCCAGTTCACAAACTGGGATGATCGTTTTGTGCGGCTGGAGCGTCGGGTTGACGAGCTGTCAGCTCAACAGTCCAAGATCCTGGACTCTATCCAGGCCTTGTCTGCTCAGCTGGCAACCGCCAAGCTGATTACTCCTCAGCTCCCTCTGCTGAAACCCAAAACCTCTCCTCCTCCTTCACCACCTCCTTCCCCTCCTACATCTCATGGGGGATCTGTACATTCTTTCCGGTCATCTATTCCTTCCCAAAAGGCCTCAGCAAAGGCCACCTATGCTGCTGTGACTGCAGCAGACAGAGGTCCCAAGATCCCTGCTCCCAACAAGTTCAGGGGCGATGACCCCAAGACTGATGTTGGGGACTGGGCTGCTGGGACCAGAGCCTACTTGAGGGGCTTTGTCTGTGCAGAACAGACCAAGGTGGCGACTGTTTTGGGGCTGCCGGAAGGGCCTTCACTGAAGTGGGCCACCTCAACTTCCAGCAGTCTGCAACAGTCCATGGAGGACTGGGCCTTTGGGTTGGGGGTAGACAGACTTCTGCAGGCCNTGGGCCACCTCAACTTCCAGCAGTCTGCAACAGTCCATGGAGGACTGGGCCTTTGGGTTGGGGGTAGACAGACTTCTGCAGGCCCTGGAGGACCGGTTTGCAGACAAGGAGCGGGCCCGCAAGGCTGCTGACAGGATTGCTCGCCTGGGACAGCAGCGGTACAGCGGCACCCTACAGGCCTTGTTTGCTGAGTTCGAGCAGCTCACCTCCACCCCTGGACTGGTCATGGCACCTGATGATATGCTGACCAGTTTTTGCAAGGCAGCGCCTGAGAAGTTTGTTGTTGCACTTTACAACGCTGGGTGCAAGGATTGGAGGTCCTTTGGTCGTGCAGCCCTACAAATGGAGGCCAAGCTCCATGTCCAGGCCCCAACCTCTGACAGGAGGAAAGGTGCCTTCCCTAGAGGCAACAAAAGGGGAAAGGCAGCCTTTACTCACGCGGGATCTGCCTCAGGATCAGATACCGATTCTCAGCCTGACGTGCCTTCAGGTGGGACCGGATCTGCTGTTGAGACAGATGTTGCAGCAGTAGTGACTCAAGCTGTGTTGGGAGCTCTGCAAGCGCAGAAAAAGTATTCCCCCTCCACAACCTCAGCCTCTACTAAGGGGAAGGATAAGGGACGTCGACCTTCCTCTTCCCAGCGCCCTAATCTGCCTAGAGACGTCCGCATGCCAACTGACCCTCTCAATCCCTCCTCGCTCCCCTGGCATGACCTCAAGATCCAGGAGGGAGTCTGGAGAAGAAGAAAGGAGAAGGGGGTCTGCCTGAGATGTGAGGGACAACACTTCTTAAAGGACTGCCCTTACATGCCAGGTCCGGGTCAGTCAAAAAACTGAAACAGACCCTGGGGACTGCAGTTCCCTCCAGTGCTGCATCTTCATCTATTCAGATAGGTGAATCTGCAGCTGTTTCAGTTGAGACTGTTTGTGATGATGTGTGTCTGGGGACTGCACGGGCAGCATCCTTCTGCTATGAGGATCCTGACCCGGATCAGGACTCGGGGCAGGATGAGCTTCAGTCCATTGCTGCCTTCTTCTTCCACTTGAGAGAGCAGAAGAAGAAGGGCCTGTCTGAACTCATCATGCTTCGGCCACTGATCAACCGCACCAGGATCACTGGGCTTTTGGACTGTGGAGCCACCCGGAACTTAATATCTCCCGGTGCAGTAAAAAAACTGCATCTGGGTATGAAAGTTCAGCAGCTGCAGCAACCGCTGCAAGTGCGGATTGGTGACTCTACAGTGATCAGCATCAGGGAGAAAGTCAAAGGCATTCCTGTGACCTTTGACACTGCTGGGAAAGTCAGACACAGTCTGAACTTTTATGTCTTCCCTGAGCTGACCTTTGAGTTGGTGTTCACCATGCAGTGGTTGAGGGCTGTCAACCCTAGGATCGACTGGCAGATTCCTAGAGTTGAGCTACCAGACCGCCAGGGTGTGTATCAACAATGCATGATTGCTGCTGACCACCACCCTAAGACCTCCTGCTACTGCCTGAGAGCGAGGGAGTTCCATGCTCTCTCTCGCCAGTACCACCATGAGCGTTTGTTTATTGCTCTGGTCAAACAAACAGATGCTCCCCCTGTTTCCTGTCCTCCTGAGATACAGCAGGTGGTAGATCAGCATGCTGATCTGATGCAGGAGCCCTTTGGACTTCCCAACCGGCCAACCAAGCATCACATCGAGCTGCTGCCTGGAGCGGTCCTTCCTAAGGGTCGCGTCTACAGGATGTCCCCTGCTGAGCTTGAGGAGCTCAGAAAGCAGCTTGAGACCCTGACCAGCAAAGGCTGGATCAGACCCAGCACATCTGAATTCGGTGCACCTATTCTCTTTGTGGCCGAAGGGAACGGCGAGTTCAGGATGTGCATTGACTACAGGGGTCTCAACAAGATCACTAGGAAGAGTACTGAGCCACTTCCTAGGATCGATGACCTCCTGGATATGGTGCAGGGTTGCACTGTGTTCAACAAAGTCGACCTCAAGTCTGGCTACCACCAGATTGAGATGGCAGAGGAGGATGTCTACAAGACAGCCTTCAAGACCAGGTATGGGACTTACGAGTTCCTGGTCATGCCATTTGGACTTTGCAATGCCCCAGGCACCTTCCAGATTGAGATGCACCGCATCTTCAGGCCTTACCTAGACAAGTTTATGGTTATCTACTTGGATGATATCCTGGTATTCAGCAAAACTGCCAGGGAACATGCGGAGCATTTGGCTCTTGTCCTTCAGTCATTACGTGATAGCCAGTATAAGATCAACAGAGAGAAGTCATCCTTTGGAGTTCCCTCTGTCATCTATCTGGGTCATGTAATCTCTGGAGATGGCCTGGCTCCTGAAGCAGCCAAGATTGCTGCTATTCAGGAGTGGCCTCAGCCCCAGACAGTGAGGGATGTCCGGTCCTTCATGGGTTTGGCCTCATACTACAGAAAGTTTGTCAGGAACTTTTCTGCAGTGGTTGCACCCCTGACTAACCTAACAAAGAAAGACACTCCCTTCCTTTGGTCCCTCCACTGTCAGCTGGCCTTCACATGACTCAAGAAGGCCTTGACTCGTGCTCCTGTACTGAAGTTGCCTGACCCCACTTTGCCATTTATCCTGACTACTGACGCCAGTCAGTATGGCATTGGGGCAGTTCTTCAGCAAGATGATGGGAATGGTCTACGACCTGTAGAGTTTATGAGTAAGAAGATCAAGACTCAAAAGCTCCAGGACTCTACCTACGAGAAAGAGCTTTATGCTCTTGTCTGTGCCCTGAAACATTGGAAGCACTTTCTCCTGGGCAGGCACTTCAAGATCTTTTCAGATCACTCCATCCTACAGTGGATGAAGTCCCAGGGAGAGTTGAACGATAAACTGGCACGGTACTTTCAGTTCATAGACATGTTTGACTTTGAACTGAAACATAAGAAGGGTTGCTACAACAAGGTAGCATATGCCCTCTCTCGTAGGCCTGATTCTTTTGCTCTGGTCTCCTCTACTCACTCCTTTGGAGAGGAGACCCGTCAGACCATTGCTCGTCTACTGCCTCAGGACGAGACTTTAGGACCCATTGTCAGGAATCTGCAAGCAGATCCTAACTCTGAATCAGGCTATGCTCTGAGTTCAGACCTGCTGTACACCTACAGCAGAGGTGAGGAGTGCTTGTGCATTCCCCAGGACCAACGGCTCAGGACACTGCTGCTATCAGAGTGTCATGATGCGCGTGGACATTTCGGGTTCCTAAAGTCTTATGCAGCCCTGTTGCAGCGCTTCTTCTAGAAGGAGATGCGGAGTGAGATGCTGCGTTATGTGGACACCTGTGAGCTCTGCCAAAGGAACAAGGTTCAGCGTAAACCTCCTTTGGGATTGCTCAAACCCTTACCCATACCTGATGGCCCTGCCCAATCTGTGTCGATAGACTTCACAGATCTAGGCAAGACTACCCCTCGTGGCATGCGTCAGGTTATGGTCTGCGTGGACAAGTTCTCCAATTACGCAGAGTTCATCCCCTTGCCAGAGGTAGCTAGGGTACCGGCTGTGAGAGCAGCCTTCTCATAGAGGTGGGTCACACACCATGGACCGCCCACCTCTATCGTCAGTGATCGTGACCCCAGATTTTGCAGCGATGAGTGGCAGTCCTACTGCAAGGACTATTTGCACTCACATCTGGACATGACCTCTGGTCATCATCCTGAAGCTAATGGATTGGCTGAGGTGATGAACCAAGTCTTGTTCCAGCTGCTGCGTCCTGTCATCTCTCCAGATCAACAGGATTGGGATCTTCACCTAGCGAGGGCACAACTCATGTATAACATGTTTGTCCACTCCTCGACAGGGTTCAGTCCCTACCGGTTACATTGGGGACGTGAACCGCGCCAGCCTCTCGATGATATCATCGACAATGCTAAGCCTGATCTGACGCCAGGCACCGCAGAGTTCGCCAGACGCTATCGTCTGGATGTGGAAAGAGCCCGCGCGAACTTGTTCAAGGCCCAAAAGGCCATGATTGAACAAGCCAATCGCCACGGGCGACCTTCCCCCATCCGTACTGGTGATCATGTCTGGGTGGCCAGTTCTGAGCTGTCGAGGGAGGAGGATATCTCCCCGAAGCTGCTGCCACGCTACTTGGGTCCGTGGCAGGTCTTAGATACAGTGGGCACTGACCCTTTCGGCCCGTCGTATGTTATCGACGTCCCGCTGCATCTACGCACCTATCCGGTCTTCCATGCATCCAAGCTGCTGCCTTTCACGCCTGCTGATGCATTCCCTGACCGGCCCCCTCAATGGGGCCCACAAATCCCTGGTAAGGGATATGATGTGGTGGCCATTGAGGATGAGTGGGGCACAGGCCCCAACCGACAGTATCTTGTCAGGTTCGCTTTCCAGCCCCCTTCTGAGAACCGGTGGTTCTACAGAAGAGACCTGATCAAGACAGCAAAGTCTGTTGTACTGCGCTATGAGGCGGCTCAGAAGGGTGACCTTCGCSGTTCGCCTCGTCTGCAYCCCTAGCTCGGAGGTCCTCGCTCCCGGGGAGGGTAAGCCTGCAATGACTTGCTGATTTCTGCTGCCGAAATTAACAGCGAGGCTGTACACTAACCCGGTAGGTTAGATTCGTAATTTTGTTTGGCTGAGGGCTAACCGAGAGACCTGCCTGTAGGGAAATTCTTGAGGGACAGATCTGTAAATCTGGGAAAATATAGGCCCAGTACTAACCTGAATTCCTACAGCTACCCTAACTGCTGATAGCAGGCCCGGGCTACCCCTAGGACAGACAGGCCCTAAGCGGCCTATGCTGCTAGACGGTCCTATAGCCTATAGCCGGGTCCGGTAGAGGCCGAGAGGCCGAAATAGCAACGGTACCGGTCGGTCAGTCAGTCCAGTCTAAGTCCTAGTAGTCTATAGATAGGTGAGGCCCATCGGTTCAGGACTTTTGGCAGTTCATTTCTCGCGAACAGCATTGGAGAAGCCAAGCAAGTTGGTGGCGGCACTTGTCTACCGGCGGCATCCTGAGACAGACCGCAACAGCAGCCATAGCCGGCCCTTTCTGAGCTTGCCACAGTTGGGGCACCCTCAACGCATCTACCCCTGGGGGTATCTGCGTATGGCCGGGGTACGTTGAGGCTCTACACTGAGTGGTTCGTGGGTGGTGGCAGCCATAGCTGCCTGTTCCTTCGTCAGAGTTGTCCATCGGCACTGAAGACTTCATCGCAGGACCTGTTCTTCATCAGGGTGGTTGGCGCTGGCCTCTGAGAGGCTGTTCAGATGCAGCGCTACTAACTGGGTGTAGGATAGAGAGTGGGGTGTGAGTTCTGAGTGTGGCGAGATACTGGAACAAACTCTGTTACGATAATTGTGTGAGTGGTTCAGCATCAGTGACAATTTCAATTGTGATCTTCTCAGGTTCTTTCTTGTGATTGGTTGTTGGGAGTTGTGTCAGAGAGCGAGAAACACTGTGTGTCTTCTCCCCTGCTGTGCATAATTGTCTTCCGCTGTTTATCTTCACCTGTGTGCAGTGTGGACTCTGTCTCCTCTCTCCCCATCTCTTGTGCATGTATGGGCATGTATGAGACTGTCTGTGTGTGAGTGGCGAGAAAATTCGTCAAACATCCAAGATCATAACACTTACCTGCAGCGCCGTTGCTCCAGCTTCGTCTTCGAGGTACCTACAGCACAGCGCTACATTCACAGGTTAGTATCTGGTTCGTAATAGTGAGAGAGAGAGAGTTCTTCCTCCTCCTCTTCTCAGTCCACCATCTTCTTCTTTCCCTCTCCATCTCTGACTTCACTGCATCTGCAGACTATGAGAGAAGAGATACAGAGCTTGGTAACATATGATCCAGACTCGACTTTTGGGGGTTCAGACATAGCAACGAGGGACTATTTGGGATTGGTGACCAAGACTTGGTGTTAACGACATTCCCATCTTCCTCCCTCCTTTCGTCTGATCCTTATCTCTTCGTCTGTGTATGTCTGGACCTGGCGCCTTCTTCCTGTGTACAGCGCCAGGCTCCTTCACACTTGGTGAGGGATACGATGCATGTGTAGTCTGACTTCAAACATGGGCTGGGCTAGATGATAGTATTCTAGCCCTCTGCTTCGCTACTTGATTCCTACGTGAACGAGGTCCGTCCCAGTCAGGTCAGTCTTTGTATCAAGTCTTCCCTGCGCTCTTCAGCATCTTTATGTATGAATGAGAATGTACATTGCTGGTCGAGATTCTCGTAACCGCATTGTCTATTCAGTCCTTTTCATCACATTGCAGATTCTCGGTTTATTGCATACATTGCATATCTGTGCATGTAACAACGGGCCTGGCCATTACATGGCTATTGTACACGCCTCTGACCAGTGGGAGGTGTGGAACGACGGTGTCATGGTCCATGCCATGATTGATATTACTGATTTCTTACTCTATGATGCTGTTCTCTTGCCACATCAAACTGTCCGCAAYCTCCTTTATGTCGAAGATCATTCCTCTGCCACCGCRGTGCAGCAGTACAATGTACACACACTATGTGACCTTCTCCTTTGTACAGCCACAGACACTGTTGCACTTGGGTGTACTCGCCATCATCTTTGTCACAATCACTACCA